CCTCTCACTGTGGTGGGAAAACATCTCCGCCACGAGAAGGCAGTGAGTAGGGCTTCCTCAGCAGAGGCTGTTTGAGACGCTTGTTTGTATGGGAGCATTTTGTTAGGTGCAAGGAACAGTAACCAGCCGCAACCCTAGACACCCACCCTCGAGCATATTGAGGTTTAGTCAACTTAAACGGATGAACAAGAACAATCTTTATGCGAAAGCCCAGTTGTTCCCAACGAATTATACATGATTACGTAGCCCACATTCTTACTCTTGACCGATTCGTGAGGATGTTATCAGCCTCATCATTAGCTTCTATGCATCCGGATGGGCGAATTTTCCGAGATGATGGATTACTTCCTGCTGCCTTGCAGCTCGCACTTGGTTGTGCGCCCTCAAAATAAAAAATGCCGAGTAACGCTAGGGACGTCTATCGTACCAAGCTCCCATGGAGCTTTATGATCATGATTATGTGTTAATCCGGCTTATCCTTTCCAAGGAACCAGCCGCAGTAAAGTAAAGTAAATTCCGGTGGTCCGGCCGTGCGTTACGCATGCATCACAATGCCTTTAGCACGGCGTCTTGTTCTTTTCTCCCGAACTGATGATGTGAAGATCAGGCGTGAAGAACTACACGCGAAGAGTTGAGATAGAGTATAGTCGTTTCCCGCTTTCAACGCTAGGTTCAGATGGTGCCCTTAATCAATATTCTATACTGAAACCTCTTTATTCATTCATTCAGTCAGACAACACATATATCACTCACCAAAGATCATAACCAAACGGCGTTGCAGGTAGTGCACCACTGAACAGATTACAAGTTCTGACATTTTTTCCGCCTGTGGGTCTTACATGGGTAGACTCTCATGCAATCAGGTTGTTCAGTTTGTCTGGTCCATATAGTGGGCTCTTTAGAGATTATAGTTTGCTGCGTATAGGAGGCATCAATTCAGAATACTAGTAGTATAGGGCGCTCAAATGAGCTGTGTTTGTCCTCGACGTACTTCGTATATCAAGAGGCGATAAGGCTAGTTCTGTTTTTTAATTATACACACTGGTGTGATGCACAGCAGAAGGGATAAACCTCGTATTCACGAAGACCTGCTGTTCAGTGATTGTAACAGGTAACCTTAACCCCGCGGGACTTGGAATGGCGAACCACATAACGCCCAGCTAGGTCAGGCGTTGTATTGAACCGGACGACAGCAAAGTTGGGTGACGGTGGTGGGGCTCAAACCTCAGGCCGGCAGGGTCAAACTTACACCGGTGACAGCGATTAAACCACTGCACCACCACTACCACCACCAAACGAAGAGTATTTGTACTAAACGATAAATCTAAAGCTTTGTTTATCGATCCCATCCCCTCAACAGTCATGTGCAATGCGGCTCCAGGGCAACACCAAAAGGTATTGCTGCGACTGTTACGCCACTGTGCTTTAATTTCACATAAGTGTCACTTTCTACGTATGTTCTGCTTTGTCGCTCATATATCCGTGGAACATGTAACATGTACAATTTTCATTACCTTAGTATTGCTAGTAATACATGTGATAAAGTAACTCGTTTTGACCCATTGGTAGAATGTCTCGATCATCTCACTCACAACCCCCGTCAGGTCTCCGAGACCGCAAACGAGGAGGAAGTGAAGCGTTGTGCCCGATATGATTACCCGGCCATGGTGAAAAAGTTAGGCAACTTTGCCCTGACTGTCGAGGCCGGATCATTCACCGATTCCGAAATTGTGGTCATGCTGGGCGAGAATGGAACGGGGAAAACCACTCTGATCCGCATGTTGGCGGGTAATTTGAAACCGGACGATGACGTCAAACTACCGGTGATGCACATCTCGTACAAACCGCAAAAAATTAGTCCGAAATCGGAAAAAACGGTGCAACATTTGTTGTTGGAAAAAATCCGTGACTCATTCACCCATCCACAATTTTCCACCGATGTGCTCAAACCGTTGCAAATGGAACGGCTGTATGATCAACAAGTGAGTGCTAAAAGTTCATTCCGATGACGGTGGTTTTTCTTGTTTGTAATCAACGGTCTTTTCGTCCAGTCCATGTCTATGACCATTTTCTTGTCTCTGTTTCATTGAACCATGATCAACGGGTATGTGGACGATGATCAACCGTTTATGAGTTTAAGTGGGATATATCGATCTGATGGTTCCCGAAGATCGTCCCTATAGACTATTGATATCATGTCCCACCTGCGATTCCACTGTGAGGCAGTTTAATTACTGTCTTTGGCACAATCCATTCCTTTGAGACTAAGTTTATTATCACCGTGGGGCGTTTTAAGTTGAACTTTTAATTCTTTTGGAACAGTGGTGTCAAATTTATATGGTATGTAAATATATAATAATAATATAATATAATAATATATGTATAATATGATATATAAATTTATATATATAAATGTAAATATATATTTATATTTCATGTCTGACCCCAGACCATGTGCCAAACAAATTATGGTACGATAATCTTTATAAAAAAGATTTGCATATGGACTGAATACTGCCAGGTTGCCCAGGCCAAGGCAGGTGAATCTTCTTGAGGAATCCACAGCCGGAGCCTTTGGCTAGCCAAAGCCTGACCCTCGAGGCACCGGGGATTGGTGTGTGAAAACCGCCACCCATTGGGGGCCGATATCCAGTTGCTCAGATCATACGCCTTTCAGACAGGATCAAACTTCCAAAGTGCCCAATTGAGCCAATGACCATTGCCACCACCTGGATGGTGTGGGTGGTTCGTACACCTCTTGTTTGTTTTGGAATCAGAGTTTTTGGCCAACTCCCCCAGGTGAACTACCAATGGTCCACCAGCCTGGTGATAGCCCCGGATATCGGCTATTCGTCCTCCCACTTTGGTGGGAAAACACCTCCGTCACGAGAAGGCAGCGCCACATGGATGCCGCATTCTTACGCATTAATCGCACTACTAATCCAATAATTCAACAGTTCATTTCAATAGTTATTTCTCAGTGTGAGGGCACAGTTCTCCAAATAAGCTGAAAAGGTTTTGTGGCACTAATCACATCTTGTTTAACATCGATCTATTCTTTCGTATCAAGAATAAGTACGATTGGTTCACTGACTATCAAACATGGTCTGTTTGGGACAGTAATCTCATCGAACTCCATAGGTTAGAACACATATCGCGCATGCCCAGCTATCGTCTACCGCACCGCGCCTTATTCGCAGTTGCGGCTACAGGTTTAAAGAAAACACGTGGTGGTTAACAGATGATGTGAAGACGAGGCTTGAAGAAATGGACAGAGCGATTAGGTAGAATAGGTGTCTCCCGTTTTCCAGATTGGGGTCCAAAAGACTCGGCCACTGTTTGGTTGGAGACACTGAAGGATATGGCAACGAACCGTTAGAAGTGGCGTTCTTGATGTCATTTCTTACCAGACCAGAATGCGTGAAAACGTATGTATGCACACTTAGATTGTTTACTCTGTGTTGACCATAGAGGTTCACTTTCTTTGATTCCCTCCACTTAGGCCCAATCCCTCTCCATATTGCGCTTTATCACTTAATTTGTGTACATTGTGAGCTCGGCGGCGATCAGTAAATTTCGGTTCATTGTATCTCGCTGTTCGATGATGATGACTATAGGTTCTCTGTGTTTTTGGTGTGGATACATGTTCTCGAAAAAAAGTAGTCACTCCACACCGCCTCCGATGGCTTGGTCACGTTTTGCGTACTTCTGTGCATCCTCTGCTTTTCCGTGCTCTTTTTTCACTTGCAGTGAAAGGCTGAAAAGGTGCCACGACGGTCAGACTATGACATGGCGTAGAGGTATGAAGAAACCGGCCTCAGCTTTGGCTCCGGTTGGTGCCATCCGCCTTCGAGATTGGACCCCAGGGGATGTTGTTGGTTAGAGATGCTAAAACATATGACCCAGACTAAAAGTCAGTGGTGCGAATGCTGTTGAAATGTCTGTTGAAATCCCGTGTCACATAAAAAAGCAATAAACTCACATACAAAAAAGATCACCAAGTGTACAGTGAAATAAAACAAAAATTCTTGTTATTCTTGTTATTTACTCTATCCGTTTGACCCCCTTTTAACTGTGTTTTCACATCCCCTCCGTTTCGCTCTCTCGTCCAATTTAGGTGATGAACCTTTCCGGTGGTGAGTTGCAAC